CTCTGCCCTTCTCTCAGCTGCCCCAGTGCCTGCCCAGGGCAAGGTGCCCCTGGAAAGCACTGGAGACTGGTTTCTAGTGGTGACTCTGACTGGGTTATTGGGAACTCTGTGCCTGGTGTCAGCAGGGAGTTAGGGCTGAGAGACTGAGGCTGGTACCACTTGGAGGCACTGATAAAACAGCTGCTCAGTGTTTACTTTGGAGAGCGCAGTTTGTTCACCTGGAGGGCTGTTAGTTATGATTAACTCATTTTTTAAATTCAGCTTTCCTTTTCCAGTGCTTTTCCACTGTTAAAATTAGGGTGTTTGATCTGAGGCTTGCTGGTGGCAGTTCTGTTCAAGGTCCACTTTGCTCCCCTCTCTCCCCCACCTCCATGCAGCTACTGAACACCAGGCCATGATAACAACCAGTCTTTTATAGAGTCATTTTTAAGCCAGTTAAAAATGCCATTTCAGTAGATTGCTCTATTTGAGTTAGCAGGAACAAGCTGTATCTTTTTTATTGCTTTTGACTGGTGAAGTGCAAGGTTTAGACCGTGTTTCATGTAGGCTATAAAGTTATATTAATGTGTTGGTTAGTGGTCAGAAGTTCTGTATGTGTAACTAATGTGTAAATAGGAAAAATTCCCCGTGGTACAAAGGTCATGATGTTTTCTCTTTTGTTGCTTCCCTTACCCTTTGGAGAGTCACTTAATCTTTCATGCAAATTCTCATTCTTTATACAGAAGTGAGGATTTTTTTGGTGGTGTTTGGTTTGTGGCTTTTTTTCCCACAGAACATCCAAAAAGCTATAAATTGCTGTCTTGCCATCTGGGAAAGTAGGAGACAATTCTTTTGATTATCTATGCAAGAAGATAAGCTAGCAGAGTGGAAATATTCATCCCTACTTGGTAACTCTTTTATTCTCAGAGTGGTCTCCTCCTTCTGAAGGGACTAGAACCATCAGGGAATAGAACAAATGAATCAAATCCTGATCTCCACTTATCTCCATCAATCAGAGTAGCAAGAACAGGCTGTTCTCTTGAGGGCTGCTGTATCTGCTCTCAAAAAAGAGGGAAGAAGACAAGTGTCTGTGGCAGGCAAGGAAATTGAGCAACATGCTGAGCTCCCTTTTTATTACTTCCAGTGTCCACGTTTGCCCCTGTACAGCTTACATGGTTTGGGTAGTCTAAGGATGAATGGAAGCTAAAAATTAAAATGCATGGAGGAATTTGAAGATATTTACTTGTGTGAGAGGGTCAGTACAAAGCCTTTGACACATGCAGGATTTAAAAGATATTTTGAATAGGACCTGAAGCAAAATATAATGGGCCAGAATTTATGACAGCAGGCAACCACATTGCTGAGCAGTGTGAATTGTCCAAAGAAAAATATGGGATGAATATCTCCCATAATGATTATTTATCAGGACAACTGCAGTCAGTTTTGGCTCAAAGGTTGTTTTTAGACACAGGCAATCTCTAACTAGTTTGTCACAGACAACTTACTTCTCCTGTGATATGTCCTACAAGGGAAGGATGTTTCGTAACAGAAAGACATGGATTGCAGAACCTGTTGTTGTCCTACTATTTGCATACCATACCATATTATTTTCTAGGGAAAATGATAGGCTATTTACAGTCAAGCCAGACAATCAACTGCAGACTGTCCAAATTAAAATAAACAACAATTACATAGCACTTATCCCTTTAAAAGGATCGTTTAAAATTCCTGGATTTCAGGGAATAAATGATATAGGAGAAGGAAGAAGGTTTTCAAATACTGAAAAGTGTCTTTGATATTTTCTATTATGTTAGTTTGGAATACTGAGCGGGAAGAGATGAAAGTTAATGTGTTGATTTATAGAAATGATTTGCTCAGTCCTTGTACAGGAAAACACAGTTGTTTCTCCCTCTGCCCATGCCTCTATTAGATTTTACTGAGCAAATTCATATTTGCTTAACATATCCCTGGGTAGCTCTTGCATGAATTGAGCCAGAAAAACCACTTAACTTTATAGGATGCTGAATCCTGGTATCAAAAGTCAATAGCATATTTTCTCTTAGTAGCTTTGCATTTACTTTAAAAGCTTCCCTTCACCTGGAAATAAGGCATGTCCATATCTTCACAAAGTAGGTGTTCCCTGACACTAATGCAGTGACTGACACTACTGAAAGTAATAGTCCCATTCCCTTTGCAGCCAGGAGCCCCTAAATCTGCTTTTCCTTATCAGTATAATGGGGTTGGATACATTTTTAAAAGGTGGTGCCTATTGATTACTTAATGGAAAAAGTTAGTGTAGAGAACTGCTGAAGCAGCCCTATTCAGTGCTCTCCAGTGCAGCAACACCATTATCTAGAACAGTGGAAATCATCCTGTAACCCTTATTAATATTTAATAAGGATGAAGCAACACTGAAGTACACTACCAAGCAGCCCCAGGCTCCTGCACGTGTAGGATATAAGGTTGTTTCGAGGGTCAAAAAAGAATAACTGTGCTCAGGTGTTTATAGGTAAGACCAACACTAAACAATGTTTTCCTTCTTGTTCCCTTTAAACTATTTCCAGCACATCTGCACTTTAATAGACACTTATTCCTACTAGACATATTGAAGTGTTGGAATGCAACAGAAAGGTCAGTGTATGTTTAGAGATTGCTGAGACAATTTTATACTTTCTTTTCCCAATGTTGCTGTGAATCCCAGGCTCCCTTCTCCCTCCTGCTCTGTGCTGCAGGGCACATTTGGCTGGGCTGACAAGCTAGTCAAAGGTGTTAATCCTGTCTAATAGAACCATAATCCTCAGGGCTGTGTTTTTATATCGTACTATTGAGCTAACCCCTTGTCACAGGATGTTCTTCATCTACTTAATAGCAAAGCTCTTTATGGGAATTTTAGAAAAAATTAAATGTACAATGCAAATTGTAATTTTCAGCTCCACAATGTAAAAAAACAAAACAAACCACAGTGTTTAGACAACAGAGACTTTACAATTAATAAAGAGCAATTTTTGTCTTTTATTTTTTATTTTCCCCTCAGTGAATAGTAAATGTCATTATAATTGTCCAAAAATATTCACAAATCTGGGTCAGTTTCTTCAAATAACCTTTGGCTGGAAATATTTTTCAGGTTAGATGTGCCCAGAAATATAGGGCAGGGGGGGAAAAAGAGGATCTTATTATTCTTTAAAGCTGCACTGCTTAGAATATGGAGCCAAAATATGGGTAGGCTTTTCTCTTCCATCTGACTCTGCTCAGGCTCCCACTGCTATGTCCACATTCATTTTTTGGGGGAGGTGGCAGAACCGGTTAATAAATAAGTTTGGGAAAACAGGAAAATACATCAAGGAGGGATTCCTCCTTAACTTCTGTGGAAGCAGGTCCATGCCAGCACTAAGTGTGCTCCCAAACCAATCCTTTGCTCCTCCTCTTTGGTTGCCCAAAGGATGTTCTACCTCTGTTGCTCCTGAGGCTGCCTCATGACCATTCTTGCCTGGTGGAGAAGATTGGAACTAGATTGTAATAGGAACTAAGATTGGAATAGGAAAGCTGGGAGCTCACAAGGCTTTTGTGAATTTCCTGGATTGACAGCAAAAGGAGGGAGCTGGAGATGCCAGGTGAAGAGTGCACAGTGGGTGCTTTAGAAATCTGGGGGAGATGAAAATATGACTCATGTGGCTGGGGGTGGGGGAAGGAAGCAATGGAACAAGGAACTAGTTTGGCTGAAATCACATGGGCAAGGCAAAAGGATGAATAAGTACAGGAAAAGCTGTAGCCCAGATACTCTGAAATCACTTATTAAATCAGACAGAATGTATTTATTTTGTGGTTTACTATTTTGTTCAGTGTCTTTTTCCTCCAGAGGGGATTTTGAATACTCAAAAATAGACTGAGTTTATATTGCCTCATGTATAATAGAGAGCCCTACTCAAGAACTCTCATACTGCATTAAAGATTTTCATTTAGTATGGAAGAGGGAAGTACTTAAAAAAAAACAACCCAAGCCATTCTAGATCTAGCTGTGAGTACTGGTGAAGACATAAAAACAAGCTCTTAAAGATACTGTAGAGTGGATAGATGTCCAAATTCTGGCTGTTTCTAGGGCCACACTTAAAGGGACTCCTGAGTTGGCATCAATGCTGATTTTATACATTTTGCCCCCATGGACAGTGCAGTGTCAGTCAGCTCTGCCTGAGCATGTCTGACAGGTATTTCTGTATGACCCCACTCCTCAAAATCTGCTGTGCCACCTCCCTCCTTTCCATGCCATTTATCCACATGCAGAAAGAGTGAAAACTCGAAGGAATGCAGAGCAATTAATTCACTGTCTCTTAATGCACACCTCAGGTGATGCAGCTTTGTTAAGCCAAGTAAGCCAAGTAAAGCTGGCATGGCAGAAAATTGTATCCATTTATGTTTAAAAATCAGAATTTATAATTGGAAAACTTGGAAGAAAAGCATGAGGCCTGCCAGATTATTCTGTTACTTACTCCCTCTGCAATGTGTGCATTTTGGACAAGATGTATTCATAATCCTCAGCAGCCCTTGCTCATTCCTGATGGTAAAGAATCATAAATTGTCTTCCCAGCTGGAAAAATACATTGTATAAATTGGCACAATTTACACCACCACAACCAAGTCTATTGCTTGTATCATATTTATGATGACACCTTTTTTTTGAAACTCATAAACAAGTCTTTCTTACCTGCAAATAATGCATGGTTATTTACATACATAAGTAATGTGAAACAGATGTAGAAGAACTCATAATCATATCCATTACCTAATTAGTATTTGAAGCAGTATTGTTTCTCTTACTTATTTTTCTACCTCTGCCTGTACAGTCATAATTTTTTTTCCCCTACAGTCACCTCATATTTTGTTTCTAGCTGGTTGCAGCAGTTCATGGCCCACTGATATGGGAGGGATTTTTAACACCAACAGGTGGCTTGACAGTTTTATTTAAGTCTTAATAGCAAAGCAAAACAGCAGCAGTGAGTCAAGGTTTGTCTTCTCTTCTTTTGCAGCGCACGAGCAGCTTTGGGAGCTTTGACCGTTTCAGGCATCACTCGATATCAAAGACAGATGATTCAGCTGAGGTCTGTAGAACACAAAGTCTGAATTTCTGCAGTTCACTTTCCCATGACAGTTATGCAAAAACATTGGGAAGCTCTTGTGTAAATTCTGCAGTGCTGAGAACTTTACTTGCATACCTGTATCTTTTCAGTGATTGAGGCCTTGACAAAAAAAATAACCAAGAGAATCGCACCTAAATTTTGGCCCTTTGATGTGAAAATAGAAATAATTTTTTAAAAAAGTGCACTTCACATCGATGCATGCCCAAAGTAACCAGCACTTTACAAGTAACTCACAGATGTCTCACTTTGGTTTTCAGGATCTCTGCAAAAATTTCCTCAATTCTTATTGATATTAGGGACAATAAATAATGGGAAACAATATTACCTACCATAAAATAGATTTTCTTTCTGTCATTCATACATAGAGTATTGTGCTGGAAACCTGTTAGGTACACAGTTTCCAAGGAAAATGGCCATGACTGAATATTGTCATGCTAACTGTATTAGTGTCCTCAATCTTTCCTGTAATTTCTGCTTCAGCTTGCTGTGTTTTATTTTTGTGGTGAGTTATTGCTTACTTTTTGATTTCAAAACAGATATCTGAGCTGGAGACCATAAGTGACATTGGGGAAGCAGTACAAATCAAAGCAGCAAACAATGGAGGAAGCCTGAGTAAGAAGATGAGAGCCATTTCACTTACCATGAAGAAAAAGATGGGTAAAAAATACATCAAGGCACTCTCTGAGGAGATGGTAAATACAGCCTAAGAGCCTTGTGTTTGTTGGAAATACATGTGAAGTAGTAAAAGTATTATGTGCATTTTTTTTCTGTTCATGTTTCAACTGCCCTCAGCTGCGACAAACCATAAAACCAAGGTAACAACACATATTGAATTAAGCCAGCTTTTGGTATGTACCTGCTCTTCCACGTGCATTTTAGTGTACACACAAATCACACAGCAAGGGCCCAAGAGAGTCATAAGAATTTTACTTCATTTAATTTTGCTTTTTCATCAAGCAGAACTTGTATGAGCATGTGTGTATGAGCACAAAAAAAACCTCCTCATGTGGACACAAGGGAGTTTTGGTTGAACCTCATCATCAGTCTGATGCTCAGTGTGTACAAAAAGCTTCATTAGAAGAATTTATCTCCCAATACTAGAATTATTTCTGAAGTCCACTTTGTAAAGGTCAGCCAGCATCCTAGAGAATTCCAACTCATATGCCTTATCTCCTTTTACCTTATCTAATCTTTGTGAAACTATCTTGATTAAACATAAAAAACATAATCTTGCACATACTGAAAACCCTGTTTTCTCAGTATTTTGTGTCAGTAAGTTCCAAAATTTAAAATCCTGTTTTTTCAGTATTTTACATCAGTAAGTTCCAAAATTTTAAGGAAAAAAAGCTTGTCATACTTAACAATCCTAAAGAAATCTATCTAGTCTGCATCCTATCTCAAGTGTCAATAACAAGTAAGTAAGGAAAATCAGTGAGGAATGTCACAAGTAGAAAATATTTTTTCACAGGATGCCTTGAAATGCCTGTTGGAGGACCAAGACAAGGATTTGTATTTCATTCATTTAGTTTTCTTTTATTTTTTTTTTCTAAAGTGCAATCAATGATCTTTATATTATATTTTTATATTTCCTTTCTGCACATTTAAAGCAACAATTCCCATGACAGAAATTCAATGTATTATCTGGTTGGACACACATGTAGCATGATCTTCCTTCCTGCAGGAGATGATGACAATCAATACCAGCCTCCTGATTAATCTGTTATGCTGCTGGCTGGTGTAACAAGCACAATTCTTGTTGAAAACCAGTACAGTTCTTAATTTCAGTTCTCTGCATGATATCTATCTCTATGTGTCTCTACTTCACACATGCACTGTTGTCTTTGCTTCATCATCTAACTGGCGAATAACTAATTTTTCCCCAAATACAATGTGCAGAAGGCAGTTTCAGTTGCATCAGGATATCACATGCAACATGATAAAGTCTACTGAAAAATCCTTCCTTTTAAAAGATCATGTCTATTTAATTTATCTGTTACATCGTCTCTAACTTAACTGTGACTGAAATATGGATCTTATTGTTTTGAATAGGCTGTGATTCCTGAGGTGTGATTTATTGGGATAAACTCAAGGGGCCAATTTCATACACCATTAGACTTTGTGAGAGAAACATGTACCTGTTAATTCTGAAATGCCCTGGATTTCGAGGACAGGGTGAATGTTGGGCAGTGTGGTGAGCACGGTGCTAGAACGCACCAGTGCCCTAGGTGTGTGCAAGCTGTCCCCAGCTTGCCACCAAGCAACCACCATCTTCACAAGTTCAGTGTAAAACACAGCTGTGCCAGCCAGCTCTTCACCACCTGCCTTGAGAGCTGAGTTTTATATTTCCTTCTCTGAGACAAGCAGACAAAATCTTATCAGGCTGCCCACAAATTTTCCGTTCCAAGCTTTCAGCTCTGCCATGGTGTGTTGCAGTCTTCCTCACTTAGCTGTTTGAGCAGGGAGGGGATGAAGTGAGTGGGGCAGAAACAAGGGGGAATTTCTCCAGGATCATAAAATACTAGGGGTGATTGTTGGGCGTGGTTAGTACCAGGCATCAAGTTCAAAAATGCCTTCTCTCATAAAGGAGTTATTAATAAAGTGCAATGATGAGCTAATCTCCAATGATACTTTAAAACAAACAAAAAATTCTCTATAATACATTTCTTGGGGGTTAACATTTGATTATTTTTGCGTTAAAGAATGAAGAGGGGAAAGAAGACAGTGATCCTGGTGGTGGAGCACACACTGAGAAGGTCTCCCTAAAAACCAGTGACTCTTTGGAAAGTCTCTACAGTCTGAACAGTGGCCAGAGCTCATCTAGTAAGTACAAGACACCTATACTTCTTATTCAGTCACTGGATCAATATAGTTATTGCTTATGTCTGTGGAATCAGAGCTGGTGATCAAAAATGTGATGGTAGAGAGCTCTTCATTCTGGCAGACAAAAGTGTAATTTGGTTAAATGGGTAGCAGCTAGGGTAGGTATACATCTATCCAGAAATAAGTTGAGTGTTTTTTAAGAGTGGAAATACTAACTGATGAAAACAACCCCATGAATTATAGGGCACAGGGCTGGTATATATGCCATAAATTTTTTTGGGGTTATCACTGCCTTAGTTCTGGGTTTGCAATCACCGGGTGCAGCCACACAAGATGGTGGGGGATGTGGGTCTCACCTGGCAGCTTTGGGACATGATGCAGAGAAACACAGCCCACCTGAAACCCACTGAAAACCCTCCCCCACCAGGGTAGCCTTGCTCAGGTGAGTGTCTGATGAGAAATGTGCCTCCACCTCTCTCTGTGTTGCCCTGCTGTGGATATTTGCTGGGTGGCAGGCCACAGCTGTCCCTGGTTACACTGCTGTGGCACCCTGCAGGCACTGCCTGAGCCCTGAGTGCAGACTGGAGCTGCAGTCCAGACCATTTGCACTTAGAGTTTATCTGGCCCTGAGATGGAGCTGTGCACTTAAGCAATCACCTCAAACAAAACCATTTTTATGATCATTTTCTGTGACGTGATTTGTGAAAATCGTATATGGGAGTTTACTTCCAATACACTGCTGCTCTTATCTAAAAACATATTTGGATGGGATATTGCAGAGCTTGCTCAAATTTGCTTGAATTACTCTGCTGATATTTTATTGCTCAACTTGGATAAAATGACAGGCAGAAATGTTGATAAGATTAAAATTTCCCTCTGCAATGCAGCTTCCTTTGATGTTTCAGCTAGCTCTGGAATGAAATAAAATAACTTCTACAGTACTTGTTTTCATTTCTCTGAATAAACAGGAGAAGTTCAGCAGAATTAATTCCTTAAATTGCACTTTTAAGGTACATTTTATTAATCTGCAGAGGTAATATTTCAAAAAGTCTGTAAATAAAATGCGTAGTCTAATAGTATCATCACCAGAAAAAGATTACTTTAGGGAAGATATTAATGAAAGATCTCCTACCCATTTTGTTCTGTCTCTTGTAGAATGATTTTTATTGAATGTAGTTATCCTGGAAGGTGTCAAACCCACACAGGATACGCTCTGTCTCTGATTCTGTGGTATTGACCCCCTTCCTTTGAGCTGCTGTGCAGAGTTGCATGTGTGGGCATTTGGTGCAGGGGTGTCTCAAGCTGCCTCTCTCCCAGGTGGGGTGACCAGCTGCTCGGATGGCACCAGCAACAGGGACAGCCTCCGCTTGGATGATGAGGTGCCCTACAACGGCCCCTTCTGCGGCCGAGCCAAAGTGCACACCGACTTCACACCCAGCCCTTATGACACTGACTCGCTGAAAATCAAGGTAAGACAGCCACCAGGACTCCTTCTCTCCCACTAGCAATGCCAGGGGGACCATATTTTACATGTAAATAACACATTTAATAATGAATTTTTACCTGCTGGAACACTCTAAAAGCAAGGCTGGTCTGGTTTCGCAGTGCTTCTACAAGGACTTAGTTCAGACCAGGCTGCAAAGCCAAGTCCTGCTAAAGGCTTTTTAAGGCACAGATTCCAGGCAGGAACTCCTTCATGGTATCTCCCTACCTACCCCAGCCTTCCTCAGAGTAAAATATGTGTTGCTTCCCACATATAACACGGGAGAATTGGGATGTTGTATGTAGGAAGTATACAACAAAACAGATGCAGGGTCTGGAGTAAGAAAAAGTAATGTCTCATGGGATGTGAAGTTGTCTCCCCAAGCTTTCCCAGTCACAACTAGGATATATCCAAAGCTCAGTGGCACCCATTGCCTTTAATAAAAACAGTTTGCCTTTCCATTAAACTTTTCTTTAAGCCTATGTTTGAGCTGTGAACATTCTTCAGTCCAGACATGGTAAGGGGTGCCTGGGCTGTGTGAGTGAGGAAGAAGAGCAACAAACAGGGGCCCAGTTGAACATTACTTAAAAAGCCCAACCCATTAGACTCTTTTCTTCTTCACAGCTTCTTCATTTTGTCAAATCCTGTATCTCACGCAGACTCCCTCTCCTACTCTCTGGCCTACATGAGAGCTGTTGCTCTGCTGGTACTTGCAGTCTTCAGCACTTGCCCTCCACTTCCATCCACATCTAGGGCATTTCTTTTAATACAGTTTAACAATTTTAACTATTTAACTGGTCATGAAATGGCAAATATCTGCTGGTTCATATAGGTTTCTTTTTTCATTCATTAGGGTGGTGTGTTTTGGAATTATAAGCTGATACTTAGGGTTGAAATCCCCTGTATTTATCACACAAAATTTCAGTACCCTGAATCTGAACTTAAAACGCATCTGCAGCTTGGCTTGGAGCCACTGCCTAATCCTGACCTGCAACCACATCTGAAGCTCCTGAGCCTGCACAAGTTTGTAGAATAACGTGTGCTTGTAGGCCCTTAAATAAATGTTTGTTTAGTTTCCATTTCAAATGTGCTCACAGCTCTGAGCCCCATGTTCTAACTAAACCAGGTCACCAGCTCACAGTCAGTTTTGTACTTGGGTTTGTACAAAAACTAGGGTGACCACTTGACTTGCTGTTCCTTGACCAGACCAGAAAAGATGTAAATCTTGGAGCTATGGATGCATCTTAACAAATTGAGTTTGATGTCTGACTTTGTAACAGAATCCCAAACGAAGCAGGCATTTGTTGGATAATTCTTCAAAGGCTTTCAGCCTTTTTCTGTGATACATGCCAAGAAGAGAGGGCCTGTTTTTGAGGTCCTTGGAAGCAAATTGTGTAGGGTGCATGACTTTGTAAGAGCCTTTTCACTATGAGAATTACTCAGAATGACTGTTTTCCTGAGCTGAGACCTTGGTTCCCACAGTGTGGCTGTGAACACCTTCACCAAAAAACCTTCTTGAAATAGCTGTGTTGTCACCTTTTTAAGTACTCATATTTGTTAGGGGAGTTAAATGTTCTTTATTGTCTTTGAGAAATGCAGACAGTGATTTTTCCTGTAAAAAGGGTAGGAATCCACCTTTCACATAGATCAGCTATCTGTTTTTGGAGACCCTTGAGAGGCTAGATAATAAGATTGTTCTGTAAATGCTATGGCACATATTTTGAAAATAACCTTACAGTCATCCCTTGCTTCTTGCCAAAACTATGCCCACTGCCCATGACAAAAGTTAATTGCTGATGTAACCCTATCCCTTTTCAGGGACCAAATGGAGAACAAAAATAGTGAGAGGGGCTGCTTGTGCTCACCTCTCCTTCACAAAGGTTTGGAGATAAGGACTAGCTCCACTTTCTGTAATTATTTTCCTGGGATTTTATAAAAGCAAAGGCACCAAATCTAGATAATTAAAAAAAGTTACTTCACACTGACTAGTGCTGGTTTTGGTCCATAGAGGAAAAGCTCCATGTAACAAACCAGAGGTGTAAGCTGTGGTGTGCTTTTTTTATTGTTCTAGAAAGGAGACATCATAGATATCATCTGCAAAACTCCCATGGGCATATGGACAGGCATGCTGAACAACAAAGTAGGAAATTTCAAGTTCATTTATGTGGATATTATCTTGGAAGAAGAAGCTGCACCCAGAAAGATAAACCCACACAGAGGAAGCAAAAGGACCAAGCCTAAAACATTGCAAGAGCTCCTGGAATGTGTCCACCTGCAGGTCAGCCAAGGCATTTCCCAGCTCTGTTTGAAACGTTCCCTTTCTGTGCGCTCGGGTTTGAATGTCATTTACAGGCAGGAGGAGAAAGGCAGGTTTCAGCAGTTTTGATGTCAGCAAAGAAAAGCAAAGCAAACTCGTGTCTGTCTTTTATCTGATGTGAGTGATGCCAAGATGATTTTTTGCCTTTTATTTATATACCTCTTATATAACTTCTATGTAACCACAGTATTCTTAGCATACATACTTGTAATTCCTTAAGTCTGATAACAGCATAGCCCCAGTATTTTGTTAGGCCAGGAGACCAAACATCCTAAAGACCTCATAGTAGGAGGCCAGAAAACCCGACACTGTCTTGGGAAACCAAGGTGCTCTCTAGAAAATATCCTATAAACTGGAGATTTGGCCCATCCAGGGGGGAATTCCATGGATGGAGGAATATCACACCATTCATCCAGGCCTCCCATTGGGGCACCCTTGTTAGATATGCTGATTTGTAAGGTCTGTAAATCATTTACACAACCAATGGTGTGTGTGCATTGCAGCACATTGCACCCTGGTGAAGTGTGCACCAATAAGGATCCATATTAAATACTGAGGTAAAACCCCCTTATCCCTTAACTGTGTCTGGTTCTCAGTTTTTAAGACCAGGAAAGGCATCATGAGTGGCTTATAGAACTGCATTTTACCTCATCATGTGGCTAGGCTAGGAGAGACAGACTCTTAGCCCTGTCTCACTCAGAGAGGGACACTGGTGACTTGTCAGCTCAGCCTGACTGCAGCTGTGTGTTCAAGTACAGGAAATGTGTGGCTGTGGATGTTTCAGGGGCAGGGCTGCAGTCTGACTCCGGAGCCAAAACTGAGAATTTGTGTTTCTCATTTCTTGTCATCTTTAGGGAGCAATAGTATTTTTGCACCGGGCTCATGTTGTGCCTCTCTCCCTCTCTGCAACCCTAGATCTTGACTGAGTGTCAAAGTGTAATGAGGTCGTGATTTACAAGTAACATTTTTAATAAGGGTAATTGCTTTGCTGCTGATGCAAACACTCCTTTCCCTGGAGCATGCACAGAGGTTTGTACTGACTTGACACACAGCTCAAGGGGGACCTTGTGTGACACAGCAGGGCCCAGGGCTCCCTCTGCTTCTCCGCTTGCTTGGATCAAGGGATTCCTCCTCTGAAAAGGCAGAGCACTCCTCACCTCAGAGCCCCTCCTGGGCTCAGCGTGGGGGACACTCATGGAGTGATCCACAAAAGTCCAGACCCTCAGCAAATTAAATAATTTCTGACAGAGCTCTGCCCTGGTGCTGTTGCTGCTGGGCTGTGTTAGGGAGCTCAGGCACAGATGCTGGCATGGCCAGGAGGGCTCCCAGGCATCTCTGCCTCTGTTCCCTCTTGCTCTTCACCTCTACCAAAGATAAGTCAATTGGACTGGAGAAGAGAGTCCATTTCAACCTGGCCAAAAAGAAAAAGTGAAATTGTGCCTATTCCTCTACTAAACACAGTGCTTGTTTCCATGAGAGGATTTGCTTGTTTCCTTTTGTAGGAATATGCCCCAACCCTCCTGCTGAATGGCTATGAAACTCTAGAGGACTTGAAGGATCTACATGAAAGCCACCTTGTTGAATTAAATATTTCTAACCCAGAAGACAGGGCAAGATTGTTATCAGCAATTGAAAATCTCCAGGACTGTGACAGTAAGTGTTTAAGATGTGTCAAGAGTATATGCACTAGTATCTTAAGCAAAAGAGAGCTTAGGTCAAATAGCTCCAATAAAGAATTTTTGTTAATTTTTTTTAACAACATTCTGCAGATAATTACAATTTTTTTCTTCCCTCACTTCATCCCACACTTAAATCCTTATCCAAATTAGCTTTTTTGGTAGGAAAGTGTTGTAAAAAAAAAAAACAAAAAAAAAACAAAAACAAAAAAAAAACCAAAAAAACCCCAACCAACCAAGCATATATATATATATAAAATAGCTGGTTTCCATTCTTCTCTCAAAATTAATCTAACTTCTGTTTCTGGTGAGTTTCCAAGAGTTGAACATATGGGGTGTGTATATACATGTGATCACCATCTTGTTTTCTTCACTTGTTCCTTTTGTGGGGAGTGGAAAAGCTAGGATATGGAACAGGAAAAACTTTTCTTATGATATTTTAATGATATTTCCAGTCTGACTTTGAATTGTAAATAATTTATGTCAGTTTTGTAGAAACTACACCTAAGCATCTACTTAATTAGATACTCAGCCAAAACAGGAGGGAGGGGTTTTCATCTTCATTAATATTTGTGCATACTCCCCCCATGCTGAGCAGTCATGCCATCAAACGTCCACTTCCAATTGAGATGCATAGAAAAAGGAGAGAGAAGGATAAACAATGTCTTCCTGGGATTGTTTAAAAGCAATTTTTTCAGGCATCCACTTATTATCTGTCTCAGTATGTAGACAGCTTTCAATTTTTTTTTTCTGAATGTTTGGGCTTTTTTTGGAACCCCATTTGTACATTAAGTTGTTCCTGTTCTTATTCAGCTTCCAGCTAAAGGCTCTTGCAAATATGTTGGAGTGCCATTAGAAAGGTTTTCTTTGCCCTGCAGGTTCAGAAGTTCTTTCTGGTCTATAGCTTAGTGAGATGACAGGTTCGAAAAGAACTCTTGAAGGGCTGTCTATGTAGAAGCAAAGATTGAAAGAGTGAATCCAGAAAAGAAAAGGGTTACACTTTGCACAGGTTTTATTGCAGGGATCTGCCAGGAAGGCACTGGAAATGTACATGCTGAGTATAGTGGGTTTGTTGTGGGAACCAGCCTTGCTGTGCTTTCTGCACCTATTACTGTGAATGTTTTTCCACATTTAACACCAGAAAAATAGTAAAGAAAAATTCTAGATTGTAATTTTGCAGTTTTGCATAGGTGTGAAAGCCAAACTGAAAAATAATGGTTTCTAACAGACCACACGAGTGCTGAACTGCTCTGTAGTGGTGAGAGTATGGTTTGCTATTTGTATTTGCTGGGTAACAAAAAGCAGCGCAAGCAGCTTTCGATGCTGAATGTGTCTTAACCCCTAATGTTCCACATGCACCTGTGCAAGAACCAAACCTAACAAGGTCCTTATGTGTGCCATATTCTGAAAATAAATATATTCACCCTTATTATCCAAATTGGGTTCTTCCTACGTTGGCAGCATAGGATTTAGTCACTTCTCCAGGCAAAACAGTGTCCCTGATGTTATCTGCATGGTATAATAGTTCAAATTCTTGTAACAGCTCTGGGAATAATAACATTAAATCTTATAAAGGGGTCCATGCTTCAGAATCAGTGACAACACTGTAGTCTTATTTCAAGAGATGAAATGAATATTTGTTTCACATGCACTTTAGATAGGTACAGCAAATCTTTCCAGTATTCAAATTCAATCAAATAATTTTCCCATAATTTATGAATGCTCACAGGGACTAGAACCACAACATCCTTTTGTGTCATACCAGCTATAAGCATTCATTTAAGTCTAGTTAAATTTGGTAAGATTCATGTATATTTTAGGGTAAGCCATGAGTAAATACTGTCCTGGTTTAATTCTTGAATCCTCACCGAGTCTGGTTCAGAGGGATCAGAGCATTTGTCACATGACTGGTGGGGACAGAACTGAACAACCTGTTCCAGAAAGGAGGATACTACAGACCAAAATGGAGAGTAGCTATCTGTTAAGTTGTTATAACAAAAGACAGGGTGTCAAGATGATCTTGGGGATAAGCTCCACATGAGTCTGACGTTGTACGAATCATTTGACCTCTTTGTCCTTCTGTCAATCAGATTGGAAAATTGGGTTGAAAGAGCTGGGTGCTACTCTGAAAGTGAATTCTGCATCTGGACTGAACTTTCCTGGGTCAATTTTTTTTTTTTTCCCTAAATGGGTATGGCTCAGTCCAGCATAAATGATTTTTTAATTAAAATTGATTTTGTGCATTGCTTAGAAGTGAGCTGCATAATTACTCACAGCTACAACATAATCTGTTTATTGGCCAAGAGAATGCTAGATAGAATTTCAGCACTTTCCAGGTAAAAAGTTCACTTTTAAAAAATAAGCTTTATAAAAACATAAGCTAAGGCCATGGACTGTAATTACTGTTCTAGGCCCATCTTTCTCACAGAGCTTGGAAGACTTCCATGTCTCTGCATTCCATTCATGCTTCCATGTTTGATTAATGGATGGAGAGGCAGGTATGGCCCAGAGTTGAAATACAAGGGTTTCTGAGTTTTTGTGACACTGCCATTACTCAGAACAACCAAGTGCGCTGGAACATAGCCTCATTTTACTGGACCCTCCTATAAATGCAGTTAAACAAGATTTCATATTTCTTTAAGTGAAATCTGATCTTGTGAGATGTCCAGAGGTTTTTACAAGGCTTTTAATTTCTTTGTCATTCCTTGGCTTTTTCTTGACATTTATTATATGTTAGACTAAGTAATTTCTTCAGGACACATACTCGTGGTGTATAATTCATCTTGCAGAATAAACATTTATTGAGTTTGCTAACCAAAAGACCTGCAGCAGTAGTTTCTACATCATATGCTACTTAAAGCCATGCAAAATACAGGATTTTTGGCAGTCACATTTTTTTAAACTTACATTTGATTTAGACATGAGTGAATTTGAAAGAATAAATTTTACCCATCTTATACTATGAATTTTAAAAATAAGTTTTATTTAGCAATTGCTACCCCACAGCATTTTTAAAGCAGATTTCTCTTTCTATTGCTGCACTATCTTCTTTCTTCCTTCCCTGGGAGTTCAGGCCCAAATTCATCATCTTGAAGTACTTCATGTAGCAAGGCTATCCTACAACTGCAAGGATTTGTAAGCTCCTCATGACCTTCTCCCCTTCTCAGACATTTTTTTAGATTTTCTATAAGTTGGTCAAACCTATATATTTGGGGCAAAAGTCTTGGTTTCCATGAATTCAGGCTGTGAGGAGAAAAAAAAAAAAAGCTTTTTCATAAAGTATTTCTTAATAGCTTTCCATTCTTCTCCCAGATGGCTTCTAGACAGGAGATGGATGTCTGTGCTTTTGTAGGATGCTATTTTTAAAGTGAAGCAGTTGCTGGATGGTTAATGAATAAAGTAATAAAAGAAGTTTGGAACTTCTTTTCTTGACCGCTTCCCAGGACACACGTTCCTGTGTGTGCAAAACAGGCTTGATTCTCTTCTCACATAGATGATTTAAATCAAGAGGTTCATCCCTGAAATCCACTGGGTCACACTAGTCCAAAGCTACTCTGAGCTAAAGAAAAATTAAACTCCATTGGATATGTGCATGCAGGTAATTTTATGGAAAAACCCCAAAAGGTGAATATGTGCAATTTGGGGGATAATATTTTACATTTATCTCCCCAAATCCATTTCCTTAGCTTGCTTTTCATATTTAAGTGCAGATCATACTTTAAATTTCACTACTAATACCAAATAAGGTTTACTCTTTATTTATTGTTCTTGGACAGCAAGATAGGAGATAGATAAGGACACAACTTTCAGTTCTCAGTCACATCCTTTACGTGAGAATCGGGGACCAAGAATTCCATTTTACACTGGGCAGTGCCTTTCAACACATGGGATCATACAGAACCTCGTCAAGGTCAAATAGTGCTCAAAGACAATCTCCCCTTCTGTACTGTGGTACAACACATTGGCCTGAACATAATATTTCCAGATTTCCCAAGGAAGTTCATCCTTGCATGAGTATTTGTATTTTTCACTTTTTTTTTTTTTCAGGCACATCTGTTTGCTTCCAGATTTTAAATAAAAAAGGAAGCTTCTCATTTCTGTTTTCACCACAAGTTCTCACATCAGTTCAATAACTTTTTGCTCCCACAAAAGCTGTGCCTCTGATTTCAGTGGATGCAGTATTTTAAGTTGCGTATCTCTAAATATCCACAAAATACTTAGTCTTTTGAATGCCCAAAGTACTGCACAAACCACTCCAGTTTTCTCTGAATCTTTTCCAAGAGTTACTGCCCTTTACTGCTCCCAAATGATCCTTTCTGAGAGTTTGATGCACTGTGAGATCTCATTTCATTTTCACACTTGGATGGTCTAACAGGTGCTGGTGATACACGGCCTGTGTACATACGTAGGTCTGGCTTCATCCTCCAAAACTGACTTTGTTCAGTGGGGCCCAGTGACAGGGCAAGGAGCAATGGCCATAAATTAAACACAAGAAGTTTCATCTCAACATGAAGAACTTTACACTGAGGGAGGCAGAGCACTGGAGCAGCTGCCCAGAGAGGGAGCAGAGTCTCCCTCTCTGGAGACACTCCAAACCCATTTGGACACATTCCTGTGTCACCTGCTCCAGATGACCCTGCCTTGGCAGGGAGGTTAGACCAGATGATCTCCAGAGGTCTGTTCCAAGTATCCTGTGATTCTGTGATTTGAGCCTTTAGTTACTGAAAGGTGCTGCTCAGTACTGCACTGCTGCACCTCCCAGGAGGGCAGGTGAGTGACTCAGCCTAAAGCACTTAGGAGCCCAGTGCTCCTAGCCCAGCTGACAAAATTCACAAAGGGCAACTCTCAGAGAGCCCACTTGTGAAGTTTGGTTTGCTCTTTGGTGACCTTCTTTTTGTCCAAGACAAAATCCAAGCTTCCTGCCACTCATCTGGGTTAAACTGACATAACTGCACAGCAGTCAGAGTGACCTCTGTGCATTCTTGAGTTGAATTCCCTTAAAGCCAAGCGCAAAGTGCTTCCCTAATCAGGACTTTAACCTCATTAGATAGGGGGAAAGCGCTGGTGAAGGGAAAAAGAAATCTACCCTTGCACGTGTCGTGCACATCTAAGTCATTGAATAACAAAAACTCATTTTAAAGGTCTAAGTAGTGAGGAAGATAAGGGATGCATCACACATCTCTCACCAAGGCTAAAGGCCTCACATTTTTTTTCAGAAGTCTGAATATAATCCTACTGTCTAAAAGAGTACTGAAATATATGTGTCAAAATGATGCATATCTAGGGCTCTTCTGGCCATATCATAGACAACAGTGACTGAGAGCCATTTATCTTATGTGAAACTGCTTTACTGTAGAAAAATGATAGGACTTCCATTTGTTGATAAGATAGTTATTTCTGATGATTCCGCAACATCTAACGGCAGTTTAATTTTATCAATTCCTGTTTTCTGTGCAGTGTGGCTTTCTTCTGATGTCCAAAAGATTAAGGCAGCAAACCTACCTTTCCTAGTGTAGAACTTGAGCACGTACATGTTAGAGAAAGGACTTAAGTAGAATGGAATAGAAGAGCCAAAAGCTTAAAAAAAAAAAACAAACCCAAAACAAAAAGAAAAAGAGCAAAAGTTCTTTTGCTCTTCTCATGAAGAAACTTCTAAAATTGCATGATATGTATTTTTATAATACTCAGGATCCTGTTCAAATGGTTTAGTAGTTACTGCATAATATTTAAGACTGCTTCAAAGAGAAAAAAAGGCACGAAAGTTTGCTTGCAGTCTTTTCTTCATAAAAATGGAGGGGGAAGGGTGTTCTTCCAACTTTTTCTGCTTAGAATGAAAAATAGAAAATATAACATTTTTACTGTCTCAAACACCTGAATGTTTTTACTCAGGTGTCTCAAACACCTGAATATTTTTGGTTTTCAGTTTTTCATGTAAGAAAATTCAACTAGTTTTACAGGAAGTTTTATGTTTATGTATGTTTTCTAAATAGAAATTTCTCATTTTCCTAATTGACCTAAATTCAGATTAAAAAAAAAAAAAAAGAAAGAAATCACAGTTCCAGGCTTGTCTGTGCATTTTTCCCTGAAACACACTAGGGAGATATTGATAAAAAAATTAGGATCTGTTGTTCATATAGGAACTGCTTAGATTATATAGACAACTAGTTACAAGGCACTAATACAGTGACTAAGACCACATATTCCTTTTAATCCACTGGCTACTCAGTCTTCTTCCCATTGTAGAACAAACAAAGTGGGTGGGGGCTCCTCTCTGACCTTGACAATGTAAACAGGATTAACCCTTTGCAGGTCAGTGCTTGCCATGGCAGCAGATGATCTGGGGGGAAGATGAGAGGGCAGTGAGCAGCGTCAGGCGGCCGAGGAGATGAGGGGGAGGCAAAGGGCAGGAGGGCTCCTGGTGCTGCACAAGCCTTGGTTCCCTGTGCCCCAAGGTGGGATGGTGCTGCAGAGAGCTGGGGACACGCTCAGGACCAGGCTTTGCTGGGGCATCGCTGCTTTTTGCGCTGAATTTTGTGCTATCACTGCCAGCAGCAGTGGGAATACCTTCACCGGTGCGATGCCTTTGTGATTCCTTCCTGATTTCAATCAGAAATCAATCGGACCCTACATGATCAAATATTTTCCCTGCAAAGGGAGAGATAACATTTGACATGACAAACTGTGTTCTGTAAAGTGAGAAGGAGATCAAACAGTTACAGATATCAATTAAATCTGCTGCAACGTGTGCTCTTGCACGCAAGTGCAATTAACAATTAATTTATTAGAGAACAAGGTGGCACTTTTATTCCTTGAAAAATATTTAAAGTAATTTTTTTCATTATTCTTTGAAATACATCTGTTTATGCCTATACCCTGGGATTTTATTAAAAAAATAACTTAGTTGAGACTTTGGATTCTTTAAAAAAATCAGCTAAGTTTTTCAATTTATTAGGCAATTGGAAGTTAGAGGATATTTAGCAGATTTAATCAGGCCAAACATATCTACAAAACTTCCATCAAGACCTCAAAATACTTCTCAATAAATCCAAATGCTTTGTGAAGCTTGTTGAAATCTCACACAATGAAAAAGGTCTCCAAAGAATCTCTCCCCTTTACATTTCACTGTAAAGGAGTGTAAAGTTTCAGTCTTTCATTTCTAATTTATTCTGTGTTATTCAATACAAGATAGAAAAAAAAAAATCAAATTTAAAATCTTTCCCATTTTACCAAATTTTCAGCAATTGAAATAAAAGTCAGTATGAATGCTCTTTGTGGAAATTTTAAAATTCTAGGAACTAAAACAGATTTTGATACAGCATTAAGTCCTTCATATCTTTGAACTCCCATTCTGCCTGAACTTGAATTGAGACAGTTTAGATATGACTAAAGATCCAGAACTGACTGTTTAACCAAAGAGTAACAAAACAAGTGGAAGAAGGGAATTTCTTTGCAAAAGCAAAGAGGTACATTTTTTCTGAGGGGATGAAAATCTGGAGCAAAACCATCTGTTTCCTCTGAGATGTGTTCCTTATACTTTATTCAGAAAGCCAAATACAGTTTGAAGTAAAACTACAGCTACAGGTGGTTGGTAACAGCACAAGAAAAAAAAAAGTAGGAAATGGAAAGATTTATATTTTATAGCTTATTTTCCTAAGAAATTTACTGTGAGTAAACATGTACTTCACAGCTAGAGAACAGAAAGAGGAAATTTAAAACCAGTACACATAAGAGTCATTAGATACTTGTATGTCCTCTCTTGAACTTTTCTTGAGAGGTGTGTTGATACTGCCAGTGAGTTCCAGATTTTTGAATTTGAACAGATTAGTCGTACAGCAGCTAAACAAGGGCAAATTATTTGCAAGATAATTTTCTTCTACTTCGTTTTGGAACAGCGTTCAAAAGCCATACAGCAGAAATTAGGCACCTTAGCTTCCTCTGAGGTTTCTGTGTTTTGGAAAATAACCTTCTGGATATCAAGCTGCGCTTGGTGGAAGTTTCCATCAGCCACCCACTCCTGCTGAAAAGCTGGGTGCTTTAGAAAAGCTGGTTGGCACATCTTTGTGCCAAGCACTTCTGAAGGGCAGTGCATTCTCTCTGCTGCAGAGAGCACATCAGGTGGTGGGGGTTGCACTCCACAGACACAGAGATATGGAGAAATGTGTTTTAAACAAGGCTCAGTGGGCCCTGGGGTTAATTCAGTATCCCGCTCTGTGATACACCAGCTCGGGAGGGGGAAGGCTCCATCTCTGCTGTGGGCACGGTGACCACACACTGTGACTGCTGCACTCTGCACTGCCTGAAGGACCTCAGCAGAAAGGATCAGCCCAAAGCCCCCAGCATTCATCTCTGAGAGAGATCCAGAAGGAAAAAGAACAACCTCATTGTCAACTCAGGTGTTGCTACACTCGTGTAATCGTACTTTTAATTCTCTCTGCTTCTGATGGACAAAATACATTGATGTAGTCATGTGTAGGTTACCAGCTCTGTTTGCAGAGTTCTTCAAGATCAGTCATGCTGCTATCTCAGCTCTTTCCCAAGGTACTTGTATTGACAATTTTTTCTTTCTTTTTCTGTTCTTTCTAGTTGAAGAACAGCAGACAAGTGAGGATGGTCAGGAGACGCAGAACTTGAGCCCTCACCAGAGTTTTGACAAATCACAGTTAAATGACTGTCCAAGAGATTCTGGCTGTTACATCTCATCAGAAAATTCAGATAATGGTAAAGAAGAAGCAGACCCAGAAGCCCTGTCTGACATGGTGCAGTCAATAACAATCAGTGAGTCAAACTGATTCGGTCCTGCTGCTTTTCTGCAGATTCTCAGAAAAGACAATCACATTTGTCAGTATGGTGGCACAGAAGCAGAATACAAAATATTCTCAACACTGAAAATCTACCTTTTTCTGATTCAACAGCTCTAAACTGTTTCATATGTGGACACTTGATAGCTAAATGTTAGTTGATGATAAGAATTTCTCATGTTTTTCTTTTCAGTGAATCCACAGGTTTTTCCCTGAAAAAGTTTATACAAAAGTATTTATAAATATTTGTACAGCAAATGCATTTTCTATAATAGTTGAGATCTTTTTTTTAGGTAGTAGTTCATAATCCGGAGATGTTAATTTCTGGAACTTTCCAGAATGTAAATATTGTACATATTTATTTTAAAAATATATGGATTAATCACACTGTCTCTATTTTCAGCTGTGTTTTGCTGATTTGTGTACAGAATGTCTTTTCATTGATATATCATCATCATAAAAAGGTGGATACAGTCACACCCTACTTTGAAAAGTACCAAGCCAATTCTCACTAATATTAAAGCTGTTTAACACCACTTTTCTCCAAAATGAGCTCTAAAGTAGACTGTCATTTTTCTTATACTTTTTCCTGGAGGCATGAGAGAACTGTAGGGTGAATCTGAATTCAGTTCTCTGTGGTCCTTATGTTGTGGAAGAACAGAGCCATGCAAATGGCAGTGGCAATTTTTTTATGGTTCTTTTCACACCTGTTCTCATTTGTCCCAAGCATTATACAGAGAATTCAAACTCAGAGCAAAAAGCCATCAGGATCAGTGCTATGCTTTTATGATAATGTTTTGTGAAGGTGTTGCCTTTTTTGTGTGGTGTGAAGTTTGTTAATAGAGTATGTGTTTGTGTACAGAATTGGAAGCTAACATGGTTATTGTACCTGTCTTTCATATGAGATTTTATTGTCTTTTCCCAATATGTTTCACACTGGAATACACATTTTAACTGCCTGTCTTCTTTTAGAGTACTTCTTTCAATAATAAACAGAACCATGTGTTTAAGCCCTTTAAAAATACTTGGTTTTTAATGTGGTCGTTACATTTCAAAGACTGCTCTCTTCTAAGACTAACACAGTAAATAGTAATTCCACTGAGTATTTTTAGCATGCATAAGAATCTGTGTATCAAGTCAATAGGGGGATTTTTTGCTCAGTCATTAGTCACAAAATTTTCATAATTTAAGGAATTTTGCATTTATGTTAAAGAGCTTCCACATATTGCTGACAGCTTGAAAGAAAATCACCTTCAGAAGAGATGAAACACAAAAAGTTCCACCCCTAAAGGAGTATTTCTGAAGAAGCTATAAACAAATGGAAAGCTTTTTCTCCCTTTCTTTTTATTTTCCCCAATGCAAGTGATTTCTGTACTTTTCATGACTTCTCAAAAGACTACTGCTGTCAGACACACAAGTCTGCTTTGAAGGCTGTAGTATAAAATTGCCATTTTAGAAAATTGGATTAACAAGATTTCAAAGATTTGGAGTAAATACACTCTGTTTAGGAAAAAAAAAAAAAAACCAAAAAAAAAAAAAAAACCAAAAAAAAAAAAAACCAAAACACCAGAAAGGCAGCTACTATGATTTGTTTCTGGTTTTAACTTACTTTTGATACCAGCAACAAATGTCATCATTTAGCAGCAATGAGCCCATACTGCCAGGTGTGGAGGGGGATGCAGAATGTGAGAGCTTGTATCAAACAGCTGTATTTGTTTCTTAATGCTTTTCCAGCCAGTAGTGCATCATGTCAGGCAGTACTGACATTACTTAATATGACTTAACTTCTGAAATAATGGGTTTGAACTGGCTTCTATCATCTCCTCATTCTAGAGAAGGACTAAATTCAGCTTGAATTTCTCTCAGAGGGACTTATCTTGTGGCTTTTGTGGCAGATTGCACTTAGTCTTCAGGTTCTGAGGACATCTGCAAAATTGCTGAACCTCTAAAAGGATGTTGAGGTGAGTTTAAATATGATTGTGATTGTCAAGAAGCAGTTAAGTTAGCTGGGTCAAGGACTACCAGCCACAGAGACCAGAGCTGTGCCCTGATATAAATACTCTGAGAAATGTTAATTTGCACAGGTTTGCAAATGAAAATAGGCCTCCCTAAACAGTGAGACAGGCAAAGCTTTCAACAGAGCAAAATACCCAACAGCTGCTGTATTTTACAGGAATTAAACTCTGCCTATTGGGCTGATGGCAAGGGGATACAGGTGTAAGGTGAAGTAGTTGGGAATGAAGGGCACGAGTTGTAACTGCTCTGATCTTCAATCAGCAAGGCTTTGTCCAAAGGGCCTCTTATTTAGAAAAAGATATCAACTGAAAGCTTGTTTGAGACTTTTGTAGCTTCCTGCAAAGGCAGAGCAGATTAGATCTCAAGCTCAGACACTTCCGCTCTCTCACACTGTTCTGAGAAAAAGAATGAGGAAATTTTGTACCACAAAGGAAAAAATTTGTGTTTTCTACAAGCAGCAGACCCAACTGGCTTTTCTCTCTTAGTGGTCTCATTAATCATGCTGATCATGGATTAAAATGTTTGGAATAGCAGAAGCATTCCTCCAACTGGTTTAAGTGCTGGGTAATCTGAATAAAAGGTTGTTCTAGGAGTTCTTGGAAAAAGTCTGGTGGAGATCTAAGTGACTTTCAAGTAATTCTTAAAATTTCCCTGAGATAGGGAAGAGAAGAAAGCAGCAAAGGTTTTGTTCCTCTCTGTCACTTGCTCAAGAGTGTCATGTCCCTTTTCATTTGTATCAACCTTCCTCTACATTTAAGGAGGACTAACACATTTGCAAGTCTCTTATTTGGAACCTGCTCCCTGCAGTTACAAAGAGATGCAAAGCCAGTCAGTAATAGCAGAGGCAAAGCTGATGAGGGGCAGCCCTTGCAGCCTTGAGGCAGTGGGGATTTCCTGGCTGCCCAGGGCTGTGCTGCAGGTGCAGCAGACTCCCCCAGAGCTGGCTACTGACACATGTGCTGCTGCTGCTGCTGCCCACAGCAGAAAGCCACAACACAGAAAGATTTGGGTGACCCCCACAAAAATTCAGGTGGGGGCAGGCCTCCTCCTTCCCAAAGCAAAACCATCTCTGGTCAAATTTAGCAGTGTTTAACAGTGCTGCCCTGTGCTCAGCCCCGTGTGACTGCCATCCACAGCTGGCATCACATTAAAGGAGGGCTGCTCTGCCATCAAAAAGAGGAGCTGAGTGCCAGGCCATGCATGATCCATGTGGACTAGCCTGCAGATCCCTGGAGGCAGCATCCTGCTCTCCAGGATCTGTAACCACACCTCTGAGAGTCAGAGTGCAGCAGCCTAGGGGCTACCAGCAAGGAAGGGCTTGCTTTCATTTTGCTGAGGTGCCCATGAGCACAGGAAGTGCAAAGAAGAATTTGGGCAGCTCTGTGGAAATTCTGGAGAAGATTCATCTCTGAGGGACTCGACTAACTGCAGGCTGCCAGCTGGACTTCACAGCACTCACACAACCCTGCCAATTGGCCCAGCCAATTTTCCACCCACCTTACCACTCAGTTTTCCATCCCACAGATCACCAATTCTACCCCTGAGTGTCTGGTCTGTGATGTGCAGAAGCCCACAGCTCATCAGCTGTGATAGAAAGGGCCCCTTTGTACCACAGCACTTTCTCCCACGTAGTGGCAATTGAAATAATTTCTGGCATTGCCATGGAGCTGCATCACACTGGTAGATCCATTTGTAAAGAAGGCTGGTGCACAGATAACAAGGCAATATTGAAAGAATAAATGGGTGCTGTGAAACAGACAGGCCAGTTTGTAGATGTCACAGTGTTCACAGGATGAGTACAACCTGCCCCTTGCCTGGAAATCAGTTTTTCCATTAAGTCAAGGCCAGTACAGTTCTTTCTGCCCACGTAAACACGCACAGATCTGTGGGCAGCATGTAAGGGGAGATGTGCCACAGGCTGCCCCAGTGCCTTGGGTCACAGTGGCAGCTTGGTATCTGTCCTGAGACAGCTTTGATGGCAGTCATGCAACTGAGTCACAGTGTCACAGATGCCTGAGCCTTTTGTCAGTCAGGAGAAGCAGTCTCAACATGTCTAGTAACAGCATGGCAAACACTCTGCCTTTTTCACAGCTCACAGATGAGGTTTTGGGCTATGTTAGCTTTTGAATGGATTATTTGCATCATGCTCTGTCTGCTGGCTGCATATGTTGTGGTACTGCTTTGTGCAATGACACTCTGTGCTGGTCCAGGAACAGGTGACATAGGATGGCACAAGTTTATCCCTTTAGTTTAAGAGTTCCTGCATGAGAGGTTCATCCCTGTCCCTGATCCTCAGTTCCTGGGAGGCAATGAGCAGATTTTTGCCTACAACTGACAACGTGGAACAGGCTATAATATGGCTGTATGGAGCCTTCAGTTTGTATGTACCCAGCATTACCTGATGAACCCACCAGCCTGCAGCTCCTCATCTGCCTGTGATTTCCTGAGGATTGGCCACAGGAATGACACAGACAGGAATCCTTGCTACAGGCACAGGCTGGAATCCTTGCTGCAGGTTGACAACCCTTAAACTGAACCAAGTTTTGGGGTTCCCAGCACAGGAAGGACCTGCTGGAGCCAGTCCAGAGAGGCACCAAGATGACCAGAGGGATGGAGCAGCTCTGGTATGGGGAAAGGCTGAGAGAATTTTCAGCCTGGAGAAGAGAAGGCTTTGGGGTGACCCAATTGTGGCCTTTCAGTACCTGAAGCCCACAGGAAAGATGGAGAGGGACTACTTACAAGGGTCTGGAGTGACAGGGCAAGGGTGAATGGCTTCAAACTGACAGAAAGCAGGTTTAGATAAGAGATTAGGAAAAAAATTACTGGCAGTGAGGGTGGTGAGGCCCTGGAACAGATTGCTCAGAGAAGTTGAGGATGCCCCATCCCTGGAAGTGTTTAAAGCCAGGTTGGATGGAGCTCTGACAAACCTGGTCCTCTGAAAGGTGTCCCTGCCCATGGTAGGGGCTTGGAACACATGATCTGTAAAGTTACTTTCAAAGCTCTATAATTCAATTATTAGAATTGGATATAGAGCAATTCTATGGCTCTCTAATTCTATGATTAGCTGATCCTAGAGGAAGGGCTGGTCTGTTCACTGCAAAACCAACAGAAGTGGTTTCAAACCTTCTATTTTCTGCTGGCTAGGAAAGGCCAACAAATGCCACTACAGACACATAGGCAAAATGGAGAACAGTAATAAATTCAGGGACACACATGTAGGGGGATAGAACATAAGTAAATAAAGGTAGTATAGAAAGCAATCATACCCCCTAAAGAGTTGCAGCTGGGTTCATTATGAAAGATTAGGAGCAGGCCTGACTTTAACAGGCCACAGCTGTAACCAATAAGAAGAGTGTTATAAAAGAGTGGATTGCTTGGTTGAGGGGGAACTGGAGTTGGTTGGCTGCTGTGAGGACAAGGAAGGGTCAGAGCCTAGAGGAGCTGCCTACAAGAAACATCAAGGAGGTATGAAACTCTAGTAATATAGAACCCTTGCAATGTAATGATAATAGAACTCTTG